CATATTGAGTATAGAATGAAAACAAAATATTACCTTACCTTGTATAAATGATAGTTATTCTTCAAAACTTATGAACTCGATTAAACTTCTCGTACGATAGATAAAATATTGGCTTAGATCTCAATGGCATACAGATATATATACTGTCTATCGTATTTTTTTTATTAATATATAAATAAATAGAACTGTACATACTACATCTTTATTTTACTTATATTAATTATAGTTAAAGAACTATGGAGTTACTTGAGTGCAACTACACGGAAAAATACGCCTTAATAAACAAGAAGTCTTAGTGCAATTACTTCCAAATGTATGTCCATTATCAATACAGCATAAGAGTATTGAGTATATACATATGTCCTGTTTCATTAGGAATCGATAGACGGAAAAAATTACTTACTTATTATTGCGTCGTTCAAAGTCAAAACATATACGTAATCTCACTTATCCTTGTCTGTCATAAATATAAGTCCTTCTATTATACTCGATAGAAACAGCATCGCCTTTGTAAAAAAGAAAAAAAAGAAAAGACTTGATATGACTGAAAGAACGAATCGATATATACATCACTTCTCAATCGGTTTTGATTATTCTGCTTCTGATAGATGTCAACATTGTACACGATCATATTTTTGAATCTTCGATTTTATTCATAATTGTAATAGAACAATCGATAAATATTAGTTTTTTCATAATATTATTTCAAATTATTTCATGGTCTTTTGTAATTAAAATTCATTGGATAAATAAAGTACCTGTCAACATAAATGGCTGCTATAGTTTATTATTTTCTCTGTACGTCTCTCTCTCTCTGTCGATTGTTGAACTCATCAATAGTTATTCGATACAATTGATAACTTATTTGATTGTAGATTCTTTGTCGTTAACTGATATTTTATCGAATGAAACCACGTTATAATCTTCGTACTCAATCATCCAAAGTTTTTGTTTCCAGAACAAATAAAATTATTTCTTCTGTCACATCTCCTTCAATGTTAGTATAAATACTTCTATCAAACTTTCTTCTAATTCTTTTTTTATCTCTACAATTGTAGTAGAAAGAGGCCAAAGCATCGTCAATCAATTACAATAAATAATAATAATAATAATAAACAAAATCGACGACAAAGTCTTCGTTTAACATCAATTCTTAAACAAACAAAACCTCGACCAATCAAACATGAAACTCGTATGAAAATAATACATTTCTAAACGTTTTTATTTTCTAATTTTCATTTCTAGCACCAAAATGGCGTAAAGTTGAGAATGATACTACAGAAGAAAATTCTTTAATCAATGATGAAGATGATGATTATGATGATCTTCTAGCACGTCATCATCGACGTATGCTTGAAGAACAAAAAGATCGAAAGTAAAACTTTAAATAAGATCTTATATGAAATAAATCATTTTTTTTTCGTTTAGACTTTATGAACGATATGTTCGTGGTCAACGAACACTTCGTCGTTTACAATGTCGTCGTACTCATACAGCTCATTTAAATGAAGCAACACGTACTCGTCTATTACGTGAATTAGAACGTGAACGTCGTTATACTGTTCAAGATCAAATCTGTGCTTATCGTAATTTTCTTTTTTTTTTATTGAAATAATTCTTCACTATATATTTGTTCTTTCATAGTTACTGATCATACAATTATATTTCGACATGGAGCTCATTTAAATTCAAATCCACCAATGGATTGGTCAACACTTGAAGATGAAATACCTCGACAAAAACATTTCGATACAATACATCAATTAGATGTAATGATAAATAATCTTAAAAAAGTTATCCGAACATCAAAATCATCGTTGTAAGTTTGTTTATTTGATAGTAAATAGATAATTAATTTTTTCAGAAAAGATAGTTCATGATCTATTATATATTTATCAAACTATTTTTGAATAGAATACATTGATCTCTAATCATACTGACTAACTATATAAGGTATGGTATTGTAAATAGGATAGTTAACGAATACTATTAAAAAAGAAATGATTCTCTCTCTATTCTCAAAATGAAAGAAATGTTTTAATATTGAAATATAAATAATTTTTTTTTGTTAAATTATTAGATCTAAACCACGTTTATCTGTACATGAAAGACAAAAACAACGTTTAACAGCTAAAACTACGACTCCAGTTATCTCTCTGAATTCGAATATTTCACAAACAAATGAAATTCGTTCAGCAATCTCACCGTAAGTCAAAGAAATTATAATAAATATGAAATTTTTGTTGTTTTTTTCGTTAAAAGAATCAATACAATATCACAATCAACTGCAATATCTCGTTTGCCAATTGTAAGATTTATTGATGATTCAATACGAATGAATAATTCACAACATTTAACATGTATACAAAACTTTTTATTACAAAATAATAATAATAATAATAATAATAATCATCATCATCATAGTCACATGTAAGAATACATATATATTTAGTTTGTATTTATGAA